ACCACTGCACTCCAGTCTGGGCAACAGAGTGAGACTCCAACTCAAAAAGAAATTTTTTTTTAATAAAAAAAATTTTTAAAGAATGTTCCACTTTTTGCTTTGGATCTGGAACCAGGTGATGTGAGTTCCCACGCCAGTGAACCAAATTCTAGCTGCATGTTCTTGGAAGAGTCGGTCACTTCTCTGGGCCTCAGTTTCCCTTACTCCGAAGTGAGGGAGCTGGACTAGTCGGGGAAAATGAGCAGGCCTCATCCTATGGATCACACATGGAAGTTGGTGACATCTTCAGAGTATGGTGCTGAACCTGATGCCATCGGGTCTCTCTGGAGGTCTGGTGTCACCTCTAGGTTTATCAGGACAGAGGCGGGTAATCCCATAGTGGTGTCTGCTGTCGGCACTGGTCCGGGGGAAACATATCAGTCATGGAAGGATAAAGTTTAAGGTCCTTTCCAGACCAGGCGCAGTGGCTCATACCTGTAATCCCAGCACTTTGGGAGGCTGAGGTGTGAGGGGCGCTTGAGCCCAGGAGACCAGACTGGGCAACATAGAAAGACTTGGTCTCAACAAAAAAATCAGCTAGGTGTGGTGACACACACTTATGGTACCAGCTACTCAGGGGACTGAGGCAGAAGGATTGCCTGAGCCCAGGAGACCAGCCTGGCCAATGTAGTGAGACATTGTCTCTACCAAAAAATAAAAAAATTAGTCAGGCATGGTGGCATGTTCCTGTAGTCCCAGCTACTCTGGAGACCAAGGCAGGAGGATTGCCTAAGCCCAGGAAGTTGAGGCTGTGGCGAACTGTGATCATGCCACTGCACTCCTGCCTGGGCGACAGAGCAAGGCCCTGACTCAAAACAAAACAAAACAGCCATATCCATTCCAGCACCTGGGATCACTGATTCGACTTCAGCTCTTCGTGCATCTTAGATTGTGCAGGTGTTTGCTCTTCTGCTGGCCGGGATCACGCAAGCCTTGATCGTAGGTATGTGGACTTGTTTCATTTTTACTACAGGAAGATTGTTGACCGCATCGACAGCGATGGAGATGGCTTTGTCACCACCGAGGAGCTGAAAACCTGGATCAAACGGGTGCAGAAGAGATACATCTATGACAGCGTCGCCAAGGTCTGGAAGGATTATGATCGGGACAAAGACGACAAGATCTCCTGGGAGGAATACAAGCAGGCCACCTATGGGTATTACCTAGGTAAGGGGGCTGTAGGGGCCTGGGCCACACACTTCCCGCGGGAGACTCTCTGCCCTCTCTCGAGACCCACCCACTGCAGGGAGATGTCACAGTCCCTGCGAGTGGTACCCTCCCTCTGCTTGCTCAGAACACACAGAGTTCCTGACTCCAGGTGAAGTCACAGGCGTGAGGAATTAACACAGAATCCCCGAGGTCACCCCTGACTCTACCTGTTCTCAGAGGCACACAGAGAAGAGAGCAGGAGGGAGTGTGTCTGCACTGCAGGCTCACATGCCGCCTGGTGTTGGATAGCAGGGATTGAGTGGGCCGGGGCAGTCAGGGGAGGCTTCCCGGAGAGGGTGATGTGGGAGCCAGTCCTCAAGGGATGGATTTGTCATGGGGAGAGAGAGACACCTGTGAGGAAGGTGAGTCCATCGGAAAGGCAGAGCTGCGACCATGCATCCAGCACTGGGAGGGGCTTGGATGAAAGACAGATGGACTAGGGAACGAGGGAGGAGTGAGGTGTGAAGGGTGGGGTGCAGACCTCCTGGGCACAGGGTGAAGGTGACAGAGGAACGGGCTGGGGGAAACACAGGAGGTACCCACGGCCAGAGTCAGGGTATCTCAAAAGTCAGACAGGACCCTTCAGACAAGGAACTGAGGGAACCAGCTAGCCTTGTGCATTCTAGAGCGCAGAACAATATGGTGGAAGCTGAACTGTGGAGAGAAGGGTGGCGTCAGCATGGTCTCCAGCCTGTGCCTGCTGTCGAGGCCCAGACCATGGGGTGGTTTGAAGGGCCCCGTACTAAAGGCATTCGGAGGTAGATATTTTCAGGATCTCAGTAGGCCAGACCCCGGTCTCCCATGAGCATGTACCACCGGCCACGAAGCAGGGGTGATCTGGGAGGCAGTGCCCTCCTCAGCAGCACGGTGTAAACCTTGGCATCCACCCTGCAGGAAACCCTGCGGAGTTCCAAGACTCCTCGGATCACCACACCTTCAAGAAGATGCTGCCACGTGATGAGAGGAGGTTCAAGGCCGCAGACCTCGACGGAGACCTGACGGCCACACGCGAGGAGTTCACTGCCTTTCTGCACCCAGAGGAGTTTGAGCACATGAAGGAAATTGTGGTTCTGGTAAGATATAGGAAGGTCCTGGGCCGGGAAAAGACCAGGGAGTGAGGTGTCCCTGAATCATGTCCCTTCCTCCAGAATGCTTCCAGCCGGAAGGGAATGGGGGCAGAACTCTGATGTGGAATGCTCTAGAAGAGCTGTCTACCCAGTGGATCAGCCAGCACAGGCTAGCCTGAGCTGCTGTAACAAGTAGCCCCAGGCATGGGCACCGGGCACAGGCACATGGGTCTCCCAGGCAGTTCTCCTCTAAGTACTGTCCAGTACCCATACCATATCCCTCTTTCTCACTCCGCCGTTTTGTGGCTTCAAGGTCATCTTGGCAACAGCCAACTGGCAGGCAAAGGAAGAGAGGGACTGGGAAGACAGATCTCTTTCATTCAGTGGCCCCGCCGAGATACACGGGGAGGCAGGAGATGTGGTTTAGACACGTGTCTAGAAAGAGTAGGGCTTAGTGCGCACCTAGGTGGTCTCTCTGCCCCATGTTTCAGCTCTCGGGGAATCGGAAGCAGACTCTGAAATGGAAGGTGCCGAATTGTTAAAACAGTACGGAAACTCACAGGAAAGATTATGTCTGTTGCTGGGTCGGGTGGCTCATGCCTACAATCCCAGTACTTTGGGAGGCTGAGGCGAGAGGACTGCTTGAGCCCAGGAGTTTGAGACCAGCCTGGGCAGCATACTGAGACCTCATCTCTACAAAAGAATTTAAAAATTAGCCAGGCATGGTGCTTTGCGCCTGTAGTCCTACCTCAGGAGGCTGAGGCAGGAGGATTGCCTGATCCCAGGAGGTCGAGGCTACGGTGAGCTATGATTGTGCTCTAGCCTGGGCAACAGAGTGAGATCCCCACTCAAAAAAAAAAAAAAAAAAAAGATCATGGCTGGAAAGTACCTCTGCCGAGGGACAGTGACTGGATCGGACATGGCTGTGAGGCTGTGTCAGGCCTCAGGGTGTCACTGCTTCCTGTAATGTCCTGTTGGGTCCTAGCTATCTTCATTTTCCTTGACAGCTAAGGAAAGGCCAGCACCTGTTTCCAGGCAGATGCCCCAAGCCATTTCCCTGCTGCTTCAGTGCTGGGAGTGGGTGGCTGGAGCTTGTGTTTCCAATCAGCTCAGGTGGTCTTGGTGACCCAGCTGGCGAGGAGTCCACTCCTGCCTCAGGCTTCATCCTCAGGACCACCATGACCCAAGGGGCTGGGCTGTGCCTAAGAATTCCTTCTCTTTACCACCCAACATCTGCCACGAAACAGCGCATTTGCAGAGGGCAATGTGGATGGGGACTTATCCACAGCAGGTTCCCTGCCTTTGAACTGGCTCTCTGTGCTCGGATTGGCTATTCCTGTGAGTGGCTATAAACTCGGTTAATGACTGACCCTAGCAGAATACCCAATCAAGGGGTCCAGTGCGCCAAATACAGAGTAAATACATTAAAAAGCCTGATGCCTTTTATTTTTCAGTTGCTCGTTGTTTACTATTTCCCTGACACCAACTCAGTGTTCATGATCCAGTTGGCACCGGAGACTGTGTCCGTGGTCATGTAATCAAGTGGTTCTCACACGGGGTTCTAGCAGGCTCTCTAGGGTGCTTTGGCTAAGGTGGAAGATTGGATGGCTGGCAGGACTTTCTGATACCAGAGCACATCTGGCTGCAGGTGCATCTTCCTTTGGAGAAAGTGTCTGCTCTTGACATTGTGGGCTGGGGGAGTGGGGATGGAAACCGCTGCCTGTTTTATACTGATCAGAGTCGGACGCCCAGGGAAGGAGGAGATGGAGCCGGAAGTCCCCACGCATTAGGCGTGACAGTCGGGCAAAGGAGGGTGATGGAGCTCGTGGCCAACTCGCAATCCCCTCCCTTTGCTTCCTAGGAGACCCTGGAGGACATCGACAAGAATGGGGACGGGTTTGTGGATCAGGATGAGTATATCGGTGAGTGCTGGCCAGGAGCCCATTGGCCATCCTGACCCAGCCACGTTCCCCCGCCCACACGTGTCTGACTGTTCCCCCCGGATGTGTCTTTAGCAGCTGTTGCCAGTCCATAAGGGTCACTCCTGCAAACGTCCAGCCCAACAGGTCTCGTCAGCCCCTGTAGCGCAATGTCAGGGAGGTATCATCAGCCCCCATTCCATGGGAAAGAGACAAGAAGCTTGACCCTGCCCTGGGCTGTTGCCAACCAACCTGTGACTTTGAGACATGCCCCGTGTCACGCTGCCTGGCTTCACTTCTGCAGAGTGGCGTTGGAGACCCCGTAGATTTACAGTGAAGAAGGGGCAGACAGAGGCAGGGGAAACACTCTGAAGTCAGACTGTGGGTCAGTGGGGCTTGGAAGCTCTGAGCAGATGCAACTGTGACCAGCAGAGCTGATGAGCTGCCTGGGCTCTCTGGGAAAGGCATTCTTCCTAAAGATATAAATGCTTTCAAGGGCATAACTGCCCAATAGTATGGCCGTTCACTGCCTCTGGTTTCTCGTCCCTGGTTGAGAATATCATACCACGCATTTGTCCTGAAGGGCCTTACTTAAGCAATATCAAGACGTGCAACCAGGCATGGTAGCTCATGCCTGTCATCCCTGCATTTTGGGAGGCCAAGGTGAGAGGACTGCCTGAGCCTAGGGACAATTTGGCGAGACCTCATCTCTACAATAAATAAAAAAATTAGCTGGGCAGGATGGTACACAGCTATAGACCCAGCTATTTGGGAGGCTGAGGTGGAAGGATTACCAGGAGGCTGAGGCTGCAGTAGCCATGATTTGTGTCCCTGCACTCCAGCCTGGGCGACAGAGTGAGACTCTGACTCAAAAAAGAAAAAAAAGTGTGTCAGCAGGTCACTGAGCCCGGCTGAGAGTTGTTAACGCACATGGATCAGAACCCCATTGCTGCCTAGACCCCTTCCCAGTAGCCCAGGAGCTGCCCAGGCAGGCAGAAAGGACCGGAGCAGGAAGCAGGGAACGTTCCGTTTAGACCTGGCCAGCTGCGGTGGCCCATGGCTCCAGCAGCCACTGCCTTGTCACGACAGCCCCTGGTCTCCCGAGTCTCAATACGGTAAAAGTTGGCCAAGCATTAGATTTGGCACTGGCCTCTGGAAAGAGCACACATATCAATCAAGGCAATTAATTACCTTTAAACAGGAAGCCAGAGCCCTCAGTGCTGTCAGTCTCCGGACAGGTGGCTGTCTCATCGTGCCACCCTGTACCCGAGAGCAAGCGCCTTTGGTAATGACAGCCATGTCCTCCTAATCATCAGAAATTAGGCTGGATGCTGAGCACTAAATGCTGCTCCCTGTGTCTCTCGTGGGTATCAGACATGTGACATCTTGGTGGCACCATCTTGGTGGGATGACAGATGCTGACAGCTCCCGTGTCCCCTTGCTGGGGACACGTGCGGGTCAGGGCCTCTCACCATGATGGTGGGGACAGAGAGACTGATGGCAACGGCTGCCAGTGCGAATGACCAGCTTCAGTGTGCAGGGCACGCTCACCCAGACCCCCAACCCCACGCGGACTTGGTGCAGCCAGGCAGAGCTTGTGGCGTCGCTTTGCCTGAAAGAAGCTTCCCGTTCTTGACACTGAACGGAGAGAGGGGTGGAGGCGCTGTGCTTGAAAATCGAGGGACCCTTATACAGAGGTCCCGGGCACCCATGTGTCCTTCCATTTCTGGGGAGCCCCCTCTTCAGTGAGGACGAGCAGGAAACTGGCAGTGGTGTGGGGTAGTGGGAGGGGGAATGGGATGAAGGTCCCAGCTTCCCCACTGACTAGCTGTGTGACCCTCAGGGGGTCGTGGAATCCCTCTAAACCTCAGTTTCCTCACCTGTAAAATGGAAAAAAATAGTACCCATCCTTGCAGGACTGGATGGAGCTGGAATTCGCTAATCTGCGTGACTGCTCTTCCTCAGAGGGCACGTGTCAGGTCGGGGTCTACCTTGCAGCTGAGGGCCTTGTCACTTTCCTTTGTCCACGGCCTGCTCCCTTTGCCACCTGACAGCCCCAGGCTCCTCTCCCCTTCGAGAGGAACTGCCCCCAGGATCTCTCTCTCTCTTCCTGAAGACCTAGCGATGAAACAAGCATTTGCACAAATGTCTCCTTCTTTTTCCTTTCCTGCCATTTTGTACAACGGGGATAGTGACCTATGACCTCGCTTATAGGACTGTTATAAGGATGGAGGGGCATGACACGTGTGAAGGCCAGCAGGTAGACACAGTGGTAAGCCCGTGGTTGAAGCAGAGTGCCCATGTTCTTACGCTCATACTGGCTGTGGGATGTGGGATAAGCCTGTGCCTCAGTGTTTTCATCTGTAGAATGGGAATAAGTGAATTTTTTTTTTTTTTTTGATTTGGAGTCTCACTCAAGTCGCCCAGGCTGGAGTGCAGTGGCACACATGCTCACAGCCACCCCAGCGTCAGCCTGCTGGGCTCCGGTGATTCTTCTGCCTCTGCCTTCCAAGTAGCCAGAACTATAGGCGTGCACTACCACTCCCGGCTGACTTTTGATTTTTTTTTTTTTTGTGGAGGTGACGTCTCGCCAAGTTGCCCAGGCTGGTCTCGAACCCGTGGGCTCAGGCAATCCTCTCACCCTGGCCTCCCAGAGTGCTGGGATTACAGGCTGAGCCACCGAGCCCAGCTATGAAGTTTTTATAAAAGGTATAAAACTTTTTAGACAGTCTCTGGACCCTAGAACATGCTCAGTGTTGGTCAGTCTTACTCATTTTCACTTGTGTAAGGGCAGTTTGGACAGCAAGGGCCCATTGGAATTTTCATCATAATGCTGTGATTTATAAATTCTGATCTCCATTTTCCAGGTGAGGAAACTTAAGGCTCCATCTCAGAACTGAATGATTTAGTCCCAGTCACTGAGCTAAGTCAAGAGCCGGAATTCCTCTCCTGGCTCTTGAGCCCGGGTCCTCTGGTCCCCCCACATGGCCTTCCTAGCAGATAAACGACCATGCTGTTATCCCCGAGACACCCTCCTTGAGCTGTGGGAGGCAGCTCTCCGAGCGCTCACCACCTTCCACCAACCCAGGAGGCTTCCGGCTTCTCCCATCTCCCTCGTCCCCATGACCAAGAACAGCCTTCCCTTGCAGCGGACATGTTTTCCCACGAGGAGAGCGGTCCTGAGCCAGATTGGGTGTTGTCAGAACGGGAGCAGTTCAGTGAGTTCCGGGATCTGAACAAGGACGGGAAGTTGGACAAGGACGAGATTCGCCACTGGATCCTCCCTCAGGATTACGACCATGCGCAGGCTGAGGCCAGACACCTGGTGTACGAGTCAGACAGAAACAAGGTACGGCATCCTTCCGGCCGCTGGCTGAGGGGAGACACTGACGTGAGATTGGTTTTGTTTGCTGCTATGGCAATGGCGCTGACCCTGATGGCCTTGTTCGTGTAGACTTTTCATTCCTGTCCTTCTGTGGAGACCCGTAGACCCGAGCCGATACCGCATGTGGGCAGGATGTGGATTTAAGTACACCTTGACCAAGCTCATTTCCATTCTTTTGGTCACCAAATGTTTTGAGGTGGGCAGGTCTATGCAGACCTACCCTTAACGTCCTAGGAAGCTGAGAGGTCAGAGGCAGGCATATCCAGCTTCGTAGTAAGAAACATTTAACAGGGACTTAGGAACAGAAGCCACATCTGTGTCTTGGGCAGTGATGAGACAAGATGGCAGACCATGCGCTATCACCCCCTAGGGCTTAGCTACCACAGGGAAGGGCCAATTCCGAAGGGACTCAACGGACAATTGAAATACGGCTCTCTGACAGGGTAGGATTTGTGGTAAGCACCTGTTCTTACACAGGAACAGCAGGTGAACAGGAGAAATCTTGGAGGCCCTCCTGGAACTTGGGTTGAGCAGAAGCCAACATGGCAGATGAGCATCCAAGATGGCGTTGCTTTGGCCTCCACACCAAATCCCTACTGAACATCTGTGACGTGTCAAGCACAAGGACACCCAGCCCACTAAGCCCAGGCCTCCCATGCAGACTCAGGCTCTGGCTTCAACACCCCCTACTTCCATCTCTATCAATAAATACCCAAATAAATAGGGATCTAGAAAAACGTCCCGCTCTTCCCCACTTTGCTCATGGCCCCGGACCCTCGGGTCTTGCCAGCAGTTTGTTCTGCAGTTGGGCCACCAAGGGAAGTGGGGTTATTCAGGGCCTGTTTTGGGAACACCAGTACTGCTTGTAGGCAGAGTGGGTTCTTCTGGCTTCTGGCTTACTTGGGACTTATCTGAGGTATGCTAGCACAGCTTTTACAGCAGGGGGTGTTCCAGTGTGAGGTCTCAGTGCAGTGGATGGAGGGGATGCCCAGCAGCTTCTAAAGTGTTCAGTGTAGTATTTAAGGCATTGCACATTGGCTGGGTGTGGTGGCTCATGCCTATAATCCCAAGTACTTTGGGATACTGAGGCAAGCCTAGGAGTTCAAAACTAGCTTGGGCAACATAGCAAGACCCTATCTCTAAAAAATAAATTAAAAACTTTTTTTTGTTTTTTAATTAGTGGGGCATGGTTGTGGGTACCTATAGTCCCAACTACTCGGGAGGCTGAAGCAGGAGGATGGCTTGAGCCCAGGAGGTGGAGACTGCAGTAAGCTATGATCACACCACTGCACTCCAGCCTGGGCAGCAGAGCCAGACACTGTCTCTAAAAATCTATATATAAATAAAATAAGATGCTGCACACCATTAGATAATACAAGCATCATGCTGAACTCTGGCCATGCCAGAGTCGCCATGACAGACTGCTTTCCTCTCTCCTGCAGGACGAGAAGCTGACGAAAGAGGAGGTGCTGGAGAACTGGAACATGTTTGTTGGGAGCCAAGCCACCAATTACGGGGAAGATCTCACAAAAAACCACGATGAACTTTGACGGACACTCACCCCAACACGGCAGACGGTCGCGAGGCTTCTTCATGTCCTGGGTGGTTGCTGCACTCGACTAACCCATAGTGGTTGCGTTCCCAGAAAAGCACGTTTGTACCTCGGGTCGGGGCTCAACGCTGCTTCTCATTCGACATTTACTGGAAAATGGTCGTCACTATTCTTTCAGTAAGATTTCTCTCGAAGCACATTAAAATCTCGGTAAATGGCAATTCTCTATGGGGATAGATTTCTACAACATGGCTTTTTTAAGAGGTTTTTTTTCCCCCGTTAAATTTAAACGACAAGGGAATAAACCACAAAAAAGCCCTGCTGTTGAGGAATTGGGTGGCTCGGGGGCAGGATGTTGAGTGACTGCTGCCTGTTTAACTTCTAACTTCAGGTGGTTTTCCTGTTCGCCACTGTTGATAGTGGGTAAGGGAAATTTCTGTTGACGCTAACATGATGTCATCCCAGGGAAGTTTATTTCAAGCAAGTGTCACGTTTCCGATTCCTCTTTCTTTAAAACCTCTGTCTTTCTGTATGGACCCGCCAGTGTGCATCTAAGAAATCCACGTCTTCGTGGTTTTTGTTTTGTTTTTACAATAAGAAGCAATCAAGAAAGAAAATGTGAAAAAGAAAGGAACTTAGAGGTGAGGAAAAGATGAATGTCAGACATTGGAAGAGCCATAGGACAGGGAGAAACACTTTCACTGTACTTCAGAGGACCTTCCTGACACACCAGTGAGGTAGGTCTGGTCTTTGAAATAGTGAGTAGGCCTACGGAGTGCTTCCTCGATGACCACCAATTGGAAGGCAGCGGTGGGACTCTGGGAAAGCCGGGCCTCGCGGAGTTCTGGAATGTGTCCCGGCCAGGCCGGCGAATCCATGACCCTCGGACCCGCCCCCGGAACGGCTGATACCATGGAATGAGGACAAGGTGATATTCTGACCCATGGACTGAACTGGCAGAAACACCCTTTGGCAGGTTGAAATTCCACCTTGTAAGAAGGAGGTGAAGGAAATAAAGGTCTCCTTGAGGGTTTTCTTCTGTGTCCTCTGGTTTGACTTCACAGATACGATGGGTGATGTCATTAGTCACCTGAAATTGAATGGGTTGGATTGCGTGAATAAGATCATAAAGGTTCTGGGTGCTTTAATCCAATCACTAGAATGTTCAGTGTATGCTCACAGTTACTAATTGAATAAACACATATTCAATTAGTGTTTCTCCTCCGGGCAGGTCGGGAATCCGCAGGTCATTCTAACCCTAAGGCTGCCTGAGACAGGTTTCACTTGGGAAATCCGGGCTCCCTGGGCCTCTGAGGCTTACAAATCCCACTCCCATCACCTTCTCGGCATCTCCTGCCACTTGCTCTCCCGTTCACCCCCCCCATATCCAGTCCCAGATGTCCTGGTCCTCAAACACACCAAGGCCACTCCCAGGTGGGGCCCTCTGCCCTCGCGGTCCCTGGCCTCAGAAGACCGGTCTGCGGCCTCGGGTCACCCTCTCACAGCATCTCTTCCACAAGGCCTTCTGGACTCCACTGTCTAAAGGAATCCTGACTTGAGTCCCTACCGCGTGTCCCCATCTTATTTTCTTCCTGATCCACGTCATCTTTTATATTCGTTATCTGCAGCTTCTGGACAAATGACAGCGAATGGGAGGCTTTACAGGGGCAGAAACTTAGAGTTCTGAAGACCAGAGACTGAGATGGGGTGTCTGTCAGCAGGGCTACACCCCCCTGGAGGCTCCAGGTGTGTCTTTCGGCTTCCATCATTTCTGGGTGTCCAGCTTGTGGCTGGATCACTCTGGGGCGTTGCCGCTGCCTCTGTCTTCACATAGTCTTCCAGTCCTTTCTCCGGGTCTCCTGCAGGGACACTTGTGGTTGGATTTAGGGACCCCTGGATCATATGGTTGATCTCATCTTGAGAGAGCCTTCATGCTGTCTGCAGAGGCTGCTTTTCTAAGTAAGGTCACGCAGGTTCTGGAGTCAGGAGGTGAGTATATCTCCGGGGGGCCTCCGTTCCAGTCGCTGGCGACACAAACGGATTTGATCTTGCCTGATACGTCGCCCGTCTCTCCCAAGCTGGAATAGACACTGCATGAGTGCAGCAGTTTGGCTGCCGGATTTTCTGCTGTTTCCCAGGACCTGGAGTCTAGCATCAGATGAGTGCTCAGTACTTATTCACTTAGTGAATGGGATGCTGATCACTTCAATCAATGGGACTATTCCTCAAGAAAAAAGAAGTTATGTAAAAAATAAACATAAAAATCAGGCTGGGAAGGGTGGCTCACACCTGTAATCTCAGCACTTTGGGAGGCTGAGGGAGGAGGATTCTTGAGCCCAGGAGCTTGAGACCAACCTAGGCAATACAGAGGGCCCCATCTCCACAAAAAATTCAAAAATTCCAGTCGAGGTGGTGAACACCTGTAGTCCCAGCTACCCGGAAGGCTGAGGCAAAAGGATAGCCTCAGCCCAGCATGTTAAAGCTATGGTGGCTATGAGCGTGCCCCTGCACTCCAGCCTGGGCAACAGAGTGAGACTGTCTCTCTCAGATGATAGACAGATAAACAGATAAGGGCCAGAGACGGTGGCTCATATCTGGAATCACAGCACTTTGGGAGGTCGAGGCGAGAGGATCACTTGAGGCCAGGAGTTTGAGACCAGCCTGGGCAACACAAGACCCTGTCTCTAAGGAAACAATTATTCAAATGTTAATATATTAGAATAGCCAGCATTTGCTAAATGGAAAGTTGAGTGATTTGGGCTTCACAGTGCTCAAATGGCAAGGCCAGAACTCAAGTCCAAGTGCCCTAGCTCCAAACTCTCTTCTGTTAGGAGAGTTGCGCTTTCCAACTGTTCCGTTAGGTTGTACCACTCCAGATATCTAGTGTCATATGTTTTCTCTTTATTCCTTGGCGCATCCACGGCATATGATTATGTGGCCATGAGAAGAACTCCTCTTATCTGGAAAGGCTGATGGCTTTGTTTAAAAAAAAAAAAAAGCAATGAGAATGCATCCTTTGTTAAATAAGAAAATAATCTTGCATAACCTAATTATAAGTATAACACTTTTTTAAAAGGCACTGACATTATCTCTCCTCCCAAAAGGGAATACTGGTTGATTTATTAAGTTATGCATAGGAAGACGTTAAATATATTTGGAGCATCAGGTTTTTCCTTTCAAGTCAGTGCATGTAGGAAGAGTAACCCTGAAAGAGACGTGGGCTTCTGGAGCTGAATTTAACACTATTTAAAGCAGGGAAGGCTTAGCTAGAGGCCAGAGCTGCTAACATGGTGATTTGTAAAACCTTAGATTTCTAATAGGGTCTGACTGTTTCAAGGAAAACATATTTTGTTTCTAGGTAACATTTCAAGTCTCATTATGAACAAATGCTACAAAATTGATCTGTAACGGGAAATACTGTAATGTCACAAAGTATTATTTGATGCTTAATATGACGGGGAGTATTAATTGCTGGGAGCCATCGTCGGTGTCAGCAGAACGTGCGTGTGCGCCTGGTAGCCCTTGTCTCTGTGGGTTTGCAAATGAATCCGAGTGTAACGAAATGCAGTTAGAAAATCCGCAATACCTGAAGGTTTTCTTCACCTCCTTGGGTCACTGTTGTCTCCCTTATTAGCAAATGCACGAGTCACATCCGCTCAGAAGTGCCCAGCAAACCCCCGCCACGTGGCCACTCATCAGCTGCTCAGCCGGAATGTCCACAGAGCCAGACAGGGAACGGCTGGAGGGACTTGCTTTTGAGTCATGCGAATTTACTTGGCCACTTTTAGGATAAAATCCCAGCTTCCTCCGAGAGCACGCAATTGAGAGTTGGCTCTCTCTGTGGTCTTAGACCAAGTTTACGGAGCTAGAATGTTCCCCTAAAAACCTATGTGTGCCCTCATGTTTGCCACCTTAGAAAGATGTTGTCATCAACACTTTAACTCGTGAGATTTATGTGACTTTGGGGCTATTTCCAAAGAAGCCATCCCCACTCTCAATTCTGTCCGTTCTAGGTCATCCCCGCTGGGACCTAGGCCCTAGGGACAATGCGTCCCACCACCCCATGCAATTTAAGAATCTCTTTCCTTTTTCTCACATAGGATCGAAAAGTGTCTCATTAACCTCACAGAAGCACAGCAAAGACGAGGAACGTGAGGACTGGGCTGCCTTCCTGCCCCGAAGGTGTCTGTGTGTTGAGCGCACATAAGCACTTCATTTCTCCCTGGACAAACACTGCGCCCATTTACCCGGCACTGTGCCAAGTGGGCACATGCATTTCTCATGTCACACAGCAGCCCTGCGAGGTGGGTACTTAGAAGAGAAAGAGGATGAGCTGGGTTATGCTGCAGCACAGACAGCCCTGACTTCTCAGTGGCTTCTAGAAATGTGGCTTTGGCTTTTGCAAAGCCAGCTGTGGTCCAGGGCCCCTGCACATGTGCCCTGTCCACCGGAGAGTCAGACACAGGCAGGCAGACACCACCTCCTGAAAGTGGCCCCATCACTCACGCTCACTGACATCAGCCAAAGCAAGTCACGAGGCCACATTGAACTTCAGCTGTTCCTAGGTGGGGACAGGTTGGAAACACTGGTAGTAACAGCATCTCTACGAGGTTCCCCACCCCATGGTCACCATGGTCCCGTTCTCCCATCTTATAAAGCAGGGACTACACGGGACGTCACACCCAGGATTGTGAACTGGGTGATTACATCGTTGACTGTCCAGACCAGAACACCTCTCCCAATGAAGGGAGGCAGTTTTTATCTGCAGCTCTGTAAATGCCGGGCAGTTGTCGGTCACACTGGGATTAGAGGGACCCCTTCCCCCTGCTCCAGCCATGTTTCTCACTGCAGTTGAGGAGTCCATGGGCCGAAGGGTTTTGCCAACTCTCCCCTCCCAGACCATGTTCCAGGTCTCCAAGTACTCCAGAGTTCCCACCCAAATGACCCTAAGCCTCTTCCTGAGCCTGGGCTAGCCTCGTCCCCGGGTATGTCTTCCAAGGGCAGCCTTGGTGTCCCTGGAAGATGTGCCTCTGTGTCACTGGGTGCCACTGTGATGCAATGCAGAGTTGATGGCAGGGAAGTCAAACCCGGCCAGGGTCCCAAGGTCTAGTTGATTCAAGCCCCAGCTCTGCCACGCTGGAGTGCCACAGGCACGCAGACCACCTTCCTCCCTGAGAGCCTGTCCTGACTGCACAGTGGGGGTGATGACAGTCACAGTGATAACACCCAGTGCCCAGAGTCGTGAGGCAGCTGAGGTGGAGGGGAGATGAGTCTACAGGCTCCCCAAGGCTGAGAAGTGACACACAGATGCAGGATGGGTCCCTGATGGCCCTCCTGAGCAGGTCACGGGCCAGAGGGCAGCGAGGGCCATGCCTGCACACGCCAGGTCACCGGTGAATGATCTTTCAGGTGGCAGAGTGACAGTGTGAAGTGTGCTGAAAGCCTCTCAGTCACTCTATGACTAGGCCAGCTCCTGGCATCTGTTTGTGTCTTGAGGATCCCACAGATCTTTCTAGAGGGCAGGGATTTGGACAGACTTCCACAGCAGATCAAGAGTCTCTGTACTCATGGAAGGCACTTGGGAGTCCAAGTGGCAAAGGTCGCCAGGGATCATGTTTTCCAGATGAGGAAACTGAGACCTAGAGAGATTAAGCCTGCAGTTTTCCCCATCGTGTTGAGATGGAAATGGGCCTTGAATGGAACCCCTTCCCCTGACCCAACTGTCCTCTTTAATTTATTTTTTTATTTCTATTTTTTTGAGTTGGAGTGTCCCTCCATCTCCCGGGCTAGAGTGCAGTGGCACACTCACAGCCACCCCAGCCTCGAACTTCCGCCTCAGCCTTCCAAGTAGCCGGAACCACAGGAGCACACTACCACAGCCAGCTCGTTTTTGATTTATGGTAGAGACGAGGCCTCACCATTTTGCCCACCAACTGTCCTCTTTAAAGCCTCTGCGTTCCCATCTGTAACGGAGCTTGAATGGTGATAACAATACTACCACGTAGAACAGTCACGGGACTGTTGAGGCCATGACCTCTAGCACATGTGCTGTCAGCACTCAGTCCTTGGCAGCCATTTTTACTGTGACCCCAAAATACGGTCCTCATGGATTTCAGCATCAAAGAGTTTCCTCATTCGTAGTTACTTCTAGACTTCAGCCGGGTGACTAAGTTGTGGGCATAAAGGAAAAGCAACAACAATTTGTTGGTTTAAACATATAAAGGAGTAGGACTTCACAGCCCCACGGGTCACCTCTCCTATAAGAGGGAGGGATGGGTGGATCCTTCCTTGGGGGTGACGCCGAGGGCTCAGGGGACGACCCTGTGGTGGCTGAGCCCCAGCCTGAGGTGCTTGATCAGTGGGGCTTGGTGACTCCACTACGGAAACTGTGTGCGTGTGTGTGTATGTGTGTGTGAGTTGGAGTCTCACTCTGTCAACCAGGCTAGAGGCCACCCCAGTGTCAACTTGCTGGGCTCCAGCAATCCTTTTGCCTCAGCCTTCCAAGTAGCCAGAACTACAGGCAAGCACTACCACGCCCGGCCAGTTTTTGATTTATTGTAGTGAAAAGGTCTCACCAAGTTGCCCGGGCTAGTCTTGAACCCACAGGCTTGGGCAATCCACTCACCTCGGCCTCCCAAAGTGCTGGGATGACAAGCTGAGCCATCGAGTCCGGCTTTATGGAAACTTTTAAGGAATGGACAGTCATGTCAAGGGCAAAGAAATTAAAATAAATGTTTAGGAGAATATCTAGACTTTATTTGATGACGTGCCCGGATCCATGTGAGTGACTTACACGAGAGCCGGGCCCAGCAGCTTCTGTAAGCCTCTCCTGAAGTCCTCCGGGAGGCTCATCGGCTGGCTGGTGGCTGGATTCACAAAGACATGAACTGAAGACCCAGTGGCACAGGCCAGAGCATCGAACTGCGCCAGCTTGGGGTGACCCGAGAAAAGGCCGTCACTGAGGTCCCGGTGGTCAACCGAGGGTGGCTCCGGGGTGGGCTTCGGCAGGAACAGGGCGAGTCGGTAGTGTACGCTGGAGCGGCCCACCCTCTCCACTGCCAAGGCCGCCGCTGGGATCTGGGGAAAGCGGATGGGGCTGTGGAAGGTGCACTGATTGGTCACCATGAACCCCACCAGGGGGGACATCAGCAAGTTGGTCTGCAGGCCACAGTACCTAGAGGGTGAAATCACAGTGCTTACTCCATGTCACCCAGATGCACTCCCAGCCCAAAGGCAGCATGTTTCGGCGGCTGACAGCTGTAACCCCCAGGGTCTCCGATCAAAGCCCAGCCCCACCACCTACTTGCTGAGTGACCCTGGGTAAGTTACTTGACTTCTCTGTACCTCCGTTTCTACAACAACCTAATGTCAGAACCACAGTACCGACCTCATGGGCTGACTGTGGGAACTAAATGGTGAACGTATACCATTTACTATCCGAACAATTCCAGACACAGTAGGAGCTCATTAAACGCCACCTAGTATGAATATAATTAGGTCCTGCTTGTCCTTCCTGCTCCTGATTCAAATTCAGGTACTTTTGTGCTAAACAAGGAAGAAAAATCATTTATTATGTCTCGTATCTCTGCTACTAGGGGTTCACCTCTTGAAGGACAGGGGCTGTGTCTTGTTCACTAACATTTGTCAAATAGGAACGAGGTGGCACTTGAGATGAAACGGAGACATAACAAGCAAACGCTGGAGCCCAACCCCTCCCTCCTCTGCTCCAGAGAGGGCCTCGGACGCTTTCAATACTTTAATCCCATTGTCCTGCTGTCTTCTTTTCTCGAAAAATTAAGATTGAGTGTGAGGACTGACTGGGAAGGAACAATTATGGGTTACCTAAAGGTTCGACTACAAGGTTGTTGGGTGGCACATCGTTCGTGGGGAAGGGCCGGAAACGGGCGACAAGTCTCCATTCGGGGAGTTTTGTGTCTTGTGGCCAGCCACCCTGGGGGGCCACCATGTCACCCATGGTGCCATTAGATGCATCCGCATATGTATGTAGAAAGCTGTCCAGTCAGGCTCGGTGGCTCAGCCTGTAATCCCGCGCATTGGGAGGCCTAGGTGAGTGGATTGTCTGAGCCTGCGGGTTTGAGACCCGCTCAGGCAACTTGGCGAGACCTCATCTCTACAATAAATCAAAAATTAGCAGGGCGTGGTAGCGCGTGCCTGTAATTCCGGCTACTCGGAAGGCTGAGGCAGAAGGATCGCCGGAGCCCAGCAGGTCGAGGCTGCGGTGGCCGGGAGCATGGCCCTCCCCTCCAGCCTGGGTGACAAAGTGAGACTCCGACTCAAAAAAAAAGAAAGCTGTTCATTAGGGGAGACCAGGTTACAGGACAGTACGTTCTATCCCTCATGATCTCATTGGTTATGCAAGAACGTGCTGGTCTGTGTACATACCGCCTAGGGAAACCTAAAACACAGACTGAAAAATGTTTCCAGCAGTTACCCAGCCGTGGGGTTGTGGATAATTTTTCTCTTCTCTTTGCTTCTATGAATCTTCCCAAATGAACATGACTTGCCTTGGAAGCGAGAAAAAAGTGTTGTCTTTTTAATGACAATGTGAATTTCATCTTTTAAAAAGCACCAGAGGGATAGGCAGGCTGCATAGACGAGGCTCCCAGCGCCATCAGGACCCAGCCCCTGCTGCTCCTCCCTCGGGGGCCTTCCCCGTGAGCACGGTGAGGGGAAGTCTCAGCCCCTTCAGTCTGTTATACCAGAATGCCAGAGACTGGGGGATTGTAAACCACAGAGATGTACTCCCCACAGTCCCAGAGGCTGGAGACCAAGATTGCCGGCAGGTGAGTGTCGGAGAGGTCCCGCTTCCTGGTTCACAGACACCATCCTTCTCTGAGTCCTCACCTGACAGAGGGGGCGAGGGAGCTCTCTAGGGCCTCTTTTTGTTCTCTTTGAGTCAGGGTCTCACTCTGTTGCCCAGGCAGGAGTGCAGTGGCCCGATCACGACTCACTGCGGCCTCGACCTCACGCCTGTCATCCCAGCACTTTGGGAGGCCGAGGCGAGAGGATGGCCTGAGCCCAGGGGTTGGAGACCAGCCTGGGCAACTTGGCGCGACCTCATCTCTACCATAAATGAAGAAAATTAGCCGGGCATGGTGACGCACGCCTGTGGCTCCGGCTACCTGGAAGGCTGAAGTAGAAGGATCGCCTGAGTCCTGCAGGTTGAGCTGTGGTGGCCGTGAGTGTGCTCCTGCACTCCAGCCTGGGTGACAGTGAGACTCCGACTCAAAAAAAAAATGGGGGAGAGGACGTGGGAGGGGTGGACTTGAGCCCAGAGTCCCAGCTTCTACCCGGATCACGACTTTGAGCAATTGTCCAAGTGGCTTCATGCCTGTGACCAGCATCTGGTCCGGCATCTGGTCCTTCCTCAGGTGGAACCTGTCTTCCCCACACTCACCCCAGTCGAGAAGCTCTGCAGTGGAGGAATGTTCGAGTTGGAGGGCGTCCTGGGGACTGTCCCGCATGGGGGCTCCCGGCGCGGTGGGCTCAGAATCCCCCAAGGAGCCTGTTCAGCCTGCAGACCCCAAAGCATCCCAAGACCTTCCAAATCAAGGCAGGACCAGGCGCCTTGGCCCTGGCAGGCTCCATACCCACCCCAGAGCACACCCGCCTCGCCTCCCGTGAAGGAAAGTCCAGGGACAAAGTCAGCTGCTCACCATCCCACAGCACAGAGGGGCAGGAAACTGTGCACACTCAGCCCCTCACCCCGGCCCCTGCAGCTGGCCCATTCACCTCTCACCCCCCGACTCAGCCCAGCTCAGATCTGGGGCCGATGAGCCTCCCAGGCACTCAGGGCTCAGAATGCGACAAGCGGGGCCCATGACCCCAGCCGCCCGTGTGCCCATCTCCTCCTCCAGGGCCCAGTCTCCCCTTTTCCCTCCCCCAAGTCCCGCCTCCTTCCGTGGCTCCATAACGGGGTGTGGCCTCCTGGGTGCCTGCCCAGTCCCTGGGTGCCCAGGTCTGTGTGAGGCACAGCCCTGCTTCCTGTGGCCGGGAGACAGGGTGCCTGCCAGGTGGTGAGGCCAGTGGCAGGAGGCACAGGTACACCTTTCAGAGGGCTGCACCTATTTTTGTCACTCGCAATGAATAGCAGGAAAGGAGCCGTAGCTTGTGGCCAATTACCTGGAATGCCAGGCGGGATAAACACTGCTAAGAATAAACACCTCAACTAAGAATAAACACCGCTAGGCAGTGTCCCCCCAGGTCACGCTGGCCCCTGGAGAAGCATCCCGCAGGCCACCGAAGCATCAAGCAGGCCTTGGGGCCCACACAGGAGGCCTCTAGCCGTGGTGCTGGGAGTCAAGTGGTTACAAGGAGAAACACACACACCAAGAACTAGACACCTGGAGGGAACGTGCCTTAAACAAGAGCCTGGACACAGTGAAGAGATGAAGATCAAACAAACCCTTACAAATCAGGCCTGGCACAGTGATTCACACTTTGGGAGGCCGAGGCAGGAGGATCCCTTAAAGCCAGGAGTGGAAAACCAGCCTGGGCAGCATAGAGATATCCCATCTCTATGAAAAATTACACAAATTAGCAGGGCGTGGTGGCACATGCCTGTAGTCCCAGCTATTTGGGAGGCTAAGACGGGAGGCTCCCTTGAGACCAGGAGTTCAAGGCTGCAGTGAGCTATGATCGCGCCACTGCACTTCAGCCTGGGCGACAGAGAGAAATTTTGTTTTAAAAGCATGCATCCTGCGAGTCTTCATGTAAAGAATGTGTCTTCAAGCAAGCCCATTTGGCTATTGCCATCACAGAATGGTCTGGGTCTCTACAACCCAGGAAGACCAATGAAAATAAACTGTGTTTCCATTTCCATTTCTGTCATCATGTTCTACAGAACCCTGGTGGAAGACATGAAGTCGGGAGATCTGGGTTTGAACCATGGCCCTGCTGCTGTGTGACCTCAATAAGTCACTTGATGTCCCAGAGCCTCAGGTCTCCTCATCTCTAAAATGGAGATTAAAAAAAAAAAAAACAGGACTGACAGGATTTTTTGTGACAATTAAAGAGAAGGAAATACATATGTCCTACGGCCTGGCTAAATTCTGGACCTTAAAGATTTCTGTGCTTATTGTTGTTATTTGCTTGTTTTTTGAACTCTGCCAATATTTTTGGTCTCTAGGGGTGGAGACCTGCATTTGCTTTGGGCCAGACGTTTCCCTCATTTTAAGAGGAGCCTTTGTGTTGGCCCTGGGACTGGCTGGGGTGTGGACAGAGGTGACTGTCCATGAAGGCCGCCATATTGTTCCTTCGGGTGGTGTCAAAGGTCACGGACATCGGAGCCAGGAAGGAGGGCAGGGGGAAGGACCTTGATGGCTGAGGGGGTGACGGCTGCCCTCCCAGAACTCCTGGGAGAGCTGGGGGGCTTCAAGGGGGCGAGGCACAGTTCTGCGACTGTGGGGAAGGTGAGCCAGCTGTCTGCGAGGTAAGCCCCACAGGGCATAGCTGTCTTCCACTGTACAGTCCCAAGAGGAAGGTGCTCAAGGGGTGTGGCAGATGCCTCATGTGGTCCCTGGTGGCCTGATGCGAGCAGGACCCTCTGTGGAGGCAAGAGCTCAGCAGGGACTGGAAACTGCTCCAGACTCCACCGGAGGTGTATTCATTTAACCCTATTTGGGGTGTGGTGCTGGTGACACCCCAGTGACAGCAAGGTGTCTTCTCTGGTGGGTCTCACAGGAATCAAAGAGACAATGTCGGACATTTCCCTTCAAGGGGAGTGTGAGTGTCCTCAGGAAGGCATCGCACGCCCAGCCCTCCCCATCCACAGGCCCAGCATGGCGTGTTCCACCAACCTCGCATGGAAGCTCTTCAGAAAAACAACATATTCATGCTGGTACAACAATGAAAGTAATATGGGTTTTTTTTCTGAGTCAGAGTCTCACTCCATCGCCCAGGCTGGAGTGCAGGGGCACATTCACGGCCACTGCAGCCTCGACTCACTGGGCTCCGGCAATCCTTCCACCTCGGCCTTCCAAGGAGCCAGAACTACAGGCATGTGCCACCATGCCAGGCTAATTTTTTATTTATTGTAGAGACGAGGCCTCGCCAAGTTGCCTGGACTGGTCTTGAACCCGTGAGCTCAGGAAATCCACTCGCCTTGGCCTCCCAAAGTGCTGCGATGACAGGCTGAGCCACCGAGCCCAGCCC